TTGTTACTTCCAGGCTACAAAGTGCTTCCTGAATTCACTAAGTAGTTTTGAGATCTCTTTGTTTTTATTCACTCAATTTGGGACAATAAAAAAACATTGTGTGTCTAAAACAGCCAATTTTATATTGTTTCACTTAATCAAATATATTGAGTTCCGACTGCTGTTAGATTTTCTTCAGAATACTGCGAAAATCTTGTGATTCGAGAGAAATTACTCACGAAGACCAAAAAAGCCCCATAAAGAAAAACCTACTCAGATGTCAGAAAATGACAATCAGTATTTCGCCAAAAAATCAGGAAAAGTTAAAACTATTGAAAGAAGAATATAACCATGGAAAAAACTAATGATGTAGATTAATAGTGATCATGAACTTCAGTAATAAAAAATGAGTATATTTGCAGTTTAAAAGATTTTTAGCCACATCTCCGACAGTAATCACTAGTGTTTCAAGAACTAGTAAAAAACCCTTATCAGCACACCAAGTCAATAGTTCATGGATTAATCCCATGTGTATGCCTGGTCACGTCAGGATTTATTCCAACCTACTGCTATTACTCCAAACAAAACGTGTCAATATGGGCAATGGTTAAGCAAACGTACTACATATCCCTATCCTTCAGTTGGTACAACTCCAAAAAATCGACCAACGTATCTCCCTTGATTAGCACTAAATGCCTAAACTCAGCATTGTTCATTGGGCAGTTCTGCTATACTCCAGTAATGGTTAGGAGAGACTTGATGAGAAATCTGATATCTTGTCGTTAACCATTACGCACCATTTCTTAACCATGAATTGAAATCTGGTGAACTACTAAGTACTCACATTCTCACTTACCTCACTCGCTATCTAGTTACAGGGTGAACGGAATAACGACATACGATTTCCAAATAATACGAAATTTTAAGATGCAAGTAACATAGACAGAGAAGGGTAAACAGATCAAGATGGAATTTCAATCAATTAATGCGTCCCGAGGTCTGGGTTCCGCTCCATCTACTTTGAGCTGGGTGACAATGTAGTATCATGAGTCCTGACGCAGTAAGCGTTTCTCATCAACCAGTGCGTAATATGCGCCAGCTTGTGTTGTTTTAAATCTTATTTTGATGAAACAGGCATTTAATGACAGTGACCGAGTGTTATTGGTTATACTAACTGGAGTGTTAGCTGGTTTCTGAGAATCAGATATGATTCTCTGTAATAGATTTTAATCATTGATTACCCTAGTTCACTAGAATTAAGTAAATTAACCTACTGAGCATTGTCTAAAATTCTATGTTCTATAGTCGTTTGATATCTAGCTGCGAGAATCAGATAGGTTTCAGACGTGATCGTTAGTCAGATACCTAAATCTTCTCTGTTGTGCAGAGGTTCACTTTGTGGCACTCGTCACGAGCTATACTTTTTGACAGCATTTGGCTTTGTCGGTTGACTTCTTATCATAGTATTTTTCACTGAACAGGGTACTGTGTAAGTGTGTATGTGCGAAGTTCATTTAAGTCGCCAAAATATGCGCCCCAGCGAAGCTTGATATTGGATGACTGTCTTGAGATTTACACATTATTTTTCATTCATCTGTAGAATCATACAATTTTTACTGGCTTATTGATAATGTCTATGTTTTGGAATCGATTAACTGTGAAAGGAATATCGAGAAAAAGTATACTATAACAAAGGTTTGCTACTTGAACTTCTGTTAAAGCCTACAGGGAGCTTCATCTTAAATGGAAGTCACCGACATTCAGTAAGGATATCCCTGGTCATCATTTCTGCCTAACCTTGTTCAGGATGTTCTGGTAAAGTCATCTCTCTTTGCCTTCTCTTTTTATCTAATGAAGATCTTAAGCATCTCGTTTAACTAGAGTACGCAAATCACCTATCCGTGCTAGGTGATTCTGACGAAACTGAAGGTCAGCTGAATTAGCATCTGGTGAAATACGACATTAAGATTAAAGTTAAGATGTGAATTCATCTGTTGTATCACTGCAGCAGATTCTTAGTTATATCATCTGATGTCTCCAACCACCAATCTCGGTTGTCACAGGGATCCCAATCTTAAACCCTACACCTAACTGTTACGCTAGGACCAGCGATCAGATACTTCAGAGGCTGATGCCCCGTTGTAGTCTGGCCACATTGAACACTCTTCCATTCTAAACCCACTTCAACTGACGTGTCGCATCGGGGTACACGCTGATTAAGGATGTGCAGCATATTTTCCCCCCACCTACCTACCCAAGTTGAAGAGCGTTTACGAGCTCATCAACTGAAATAAATCTTTTATCTAAGACGCTGCTCCTAATCGCCTCGTAGTGACTCAACCCTGCGCATATTTATGCACTAAGCTGTGAGGCACACTTGTCGTATAAAGGTTTATGATACTATTTGTTTACCGACACCGAAGTGGGTGGAGCATAATTGAAATGTTGGACCCATTGCTTGAAAGGTGATTCCCCACTCTAATAAGCCACATCATCAATGTTTACATAAATAGCGTGATGGTTCGGCAAAGTACCAGATATACCACGAAGGCAATGGCGGTTGAGTACTTGCAGCCTTCTCAGATCCTCCACCTTTAACGGTCATGTTTAACAGCCATGTAGTAGGATAGAGTCAACTGTTGCTCATTGAACCAAACTTTCGGAATGAGCAATCGGATATATCAGTGATGACAGATGAAGACAGACAGACAGACAAAATAAACGTAGGACCTCATATACAAGTACATCGCTTCAAGTTGCCAAACTTCACAGTAGCATGAAAAGAATAAATGAATAAAGACTGATATCAAAGTAGGCGAAGGTGTATGGGAAGAGAAAGGATTTAAGAATCAAGGTTAGCCAAAACATTCAAGCTTTAGAAAACATCGAAGAGTGAATATATATGTGCCGTTGTGACCGATTTTCAGCCATATCATCAAGAATCAGTGACTGATTCCTGTCTTCTTGGGGACACCAGTCAGGCAGTCTGCAGTCCTCTACATAGCTCAGAACAACTGTAGGCGATTCCATACACTAGACAGACGGGAAGATGCAGTAAAGGCCAATCTAACCCTTTAGGTAATGCGATTTCGTTTGTCGCTGACCCATCAGGGCTGATCTAACTTTCTGTATAAGTGAAGTGGTCAGCTCACTCAACCACTTCACTCCGTGTTGTTACACGAGATATTGACACAAACTAAGCCTACCACCACAAATTACACTCAGGTGACGAGAAAAGGATTCTATACTTTCTCAAACTGTCACTATGTCCCCAAGATTGTATTTTTGCAGTATCTCCACCGAACAGGATATATAGACAAATTAATGTAGAACCTAACAGACGCATCAGTTCAAGTTGCCACACTTCGCAGAGGCATGCCAACGAATACTGCATGAAAAAGAGTGGAGTTGTGGCTCATTGGTTTAGGGAGTTGACTTTCAACCAGTGGGTGGCCGGTTCAAACACCACTCCACCTACCAAGGTTTGAACAGCGAGGTAGCATCATTAGTCCTCACACAATAGATGTGGCTCAAGGTTACTGATTAGATTTCGCATGAAAAAGAGTAATGCCAAAGTTTGAAAAGTGTGTGCGATTTAAGAGAATAGATGAAGGCTAATGAAAATATTCAAGAGTTCGAAGATGTATGTAGTATCTGCGTCATAGTGATCGAGTTGAGATTGCCATCAGTAACCTACAACCATTGATTCTTATCGTCTTGAAAACTAGCTAGACAGTATATTCCTTGGTATGCGCAACAATCTGCCTTAGTTGAAAGTTCACAGCTTTAACTGTTTTGGTACTTTATAGAGCTGTAGCTCATTGTTCTGGTCACGCTACTTGCAATCAGTAGGTCACAGGAATCAAGCTCCGTGTACCAGGTTTTTGACAGAAAGGTAGAATCACTAGCCCTTACACTCTAACTATGGCTCATACATATTTCAAATAAAGTACTTAATCAATTCATAGGTATCCAAACCAAGTTAGGGTCTGTTGGTTTGAAAAAAATTGACCATTAGGTAAATGATATTCATTATTTTAGTATTCGTATTTCCCAGTGAATGTAAAGCAAACCAAATTTGTTATAACTGACGTTTCTCTGTTAAGTGCTAATAGCTTTATCAAAGTTATAATTCCCATAATTCTGCAACAATTTTGAAGTCTCTCATATTGTAATTCAGTCATCACACTCTAGTTCAAATCTAAACCCATTCGGTTTAGTTGAGTTTACTGTTCTAAAGCTACAATCAGACGTCAAACGTCTACGGACCCAGAGTCTTTAATACTGCTATCCAAACATATCCATTTTTGTTTTTGTTTTCGATCTTCTTACTTTTCCTGTATCACTGTCTTCTGAATGTAAAATAAATTTGCGTGGTACATCTCTCTTAAATAAATAAAACAAAAGTTGTGATAAAATTGGTTTTTTCTTTAAATATTCCTGTTTGGTCGTCGACTCAGACCATCAATGCGGTCATCTTTAATATCTATATGCTATCTCGTTTATTTTATCTAAGGACTTCCAACCACCATCCTCAAAGAATGCTAAGGGAATAGCATCAGTTTCTACTGTTTTGCAGTTTCGAGTTTGAAAAAGCCTTAACAGCATCGGTGAGAGTCATGAAATCAAAGTCAACACCCGTTTCAGGCTGAAGTGTGACTGTGGATCAGCTGAAGTTTTGTTCAACTTTCCAGCCGCCTGTCTGAGGTGATTGTCAGAACGCCATCCTTGTTGATGGTTTCACTGTCAACTTCTCTCGATAAGTCTAAATAATTTCCAAGTATTGCTCAGCACTGCCAGTAGTTATTACAAAAACTTAGTCATTTCACTACTAGAAGTGTCAGTTTTTAATGAGGATCTGTGGTGACACACTAAATTCTTATGATACTTGTTTTTCGTGTTTCAGTTTTTGTACACCAACCAGACTTCAGATTTCACTACTTCACTGGATAGTTTTATACTCTAAATTCGTTGTTGATACATGTTTTAGTTTGGCTATTGTTCTTTTCTTGCATTTTTAGCAAATGTATTGATTCTACGTGTACTGTTCAATGTCAGGAAGCCTCATTAGTCGGCGTGAAGGACAGCCCGTGTTAATCCTTACTTGTCAGAGGGATTCACATCCCTTCCAGGATCGTACCATCATCTTAAATGATGTACTAAAAGTTGGACGTTCTGTGGCTCGTGTTAAACCTGCAGCAAACAATGCTATCTTTGACTGCAAAGTGCTATCAAGAAGTCATGCATTGATTTGGTATAGAGCGGGCCGCGTAGGTTTCAATCACTATATTAATTTTGTTCATAGTTTTGGTTACGCGATACTAATAGTAGTAATGGTACTTTCGTGAATAGTACAAGAGTTGTCAAGAAAAGTGACGAAGAGTTTGCTGACCGTGAGATATTTTCCCGTGATATTATCCGCTTCGGAGTGGATGTCGTTGAGCATGACAGTAATTCACGTTTCGTTGCTAATATTCTTGTTTAGCAACTCATGGCTGCATCATCGCTGAAGTTGCTCTATACTTTCCTAATGGAGTAGAAGCCAAAAAGAAGTAAGCACATCATTATGTTTATCTGCTTTTTTTAGCGCTGTGCCTGTCAGCAGCAACAATGGAACCATTGGAGTAGATACACTTCATGCTGAGCAAATGTTCCGTCTCACACACTATATCAGTGTATGTTGATTCGTGCAGTTAATTCTTACCACTTTCTAGGAGGCTTTGTTTCGAGAACAGGTTTTGGATACGAAGCTCGAATCCGTCAGACAGTTGTTGCAAGAGACACAAGACGTTTCTGAAGCTGGTTGGCAAGTAGGTTAACAAATTTCTTGTTATTCTGTTATCCAGGCGATGGTGAATGAAGAACGACTTCTAGAAAAGTTGAATCTTTATGAAACTCAACTTTCTCTATTAAAGCAAGTACGTAATTTTTACCTGAATCTGGTTTTTTAGTAGTTTTTTACTGTTGGATGTATACCAAACATGTTAAATTTGTTGTTTTTGCTGTTTGAAGGATCTGCCTGAAGATTCTCTACAATCACATTTGGTACAAGTTCTAGAGGAGAAGTTTAATCTTGAGAAAGCGAGTAAAATGATGTTGGAACGCCTGCTAAATGAGAAAACAGAAGTATTTAGCAAAGCTACTGATCTTGAGGTACGTTAATTCACTCACCTTTTAATTTCCTCCTAATGTGAAGATGGTTCTCATAATAAGTCGATATCAGTGTTACAAAGATAGGGATAATCAATATAATCATCCAAAATCTTCCGTCAGCGTCAACACTGAGATTATCGAACACTTAAAAATACTTATATCCATAATAAATTTATGCATTGCGAGATAATCCATTTATCATAATACATTTGTAATGAATGTGTACTTGTGAAATCATGGAGCACACTACTGAGGAGTCCGATTCCAGGACGAGACAACTGCCCAGCTCCCAGATTTCCAATGGCTCTTTAACTGATGTCAGTCTATGTTGAATATCAGGCTGACTTCTAGGTTTTGTTTAGTTGGATGCATACTTTTGTCAGAACATCTTGATGATTCCTGCTGACTCTGATCACGATGAAGAGTGAAAGCAGCCTAGACGTATGTTGACCAAGAGTTTTCGCGTCTATCGCGAGCAGTGTTGAGTAGCGAAAGAGAGACAGGTGGGGGAAGGCATCAGGGTTGGGTAACACTCGGTAACTAATTTGGCTTATTAAGCGATACCTGGGAGAAGACGGTTAGCGAAACCATGAGCGAAAAGAATGGGACGCTGCTAACCTCCTACGACAGGCGACTAAAACGTTGAGCAGAATACTTTGAAGCACAGTTCAGCTGGCCCTCAGAAACGCTTGAGTTGCCCAGCATCTGAAAGTAGATTTCGGTCCTCGAACTCTGCCTGAAGTTGAGAAGACTGTATCGAACTTGAAATGGTGCAGGGCGGTAGGAGCTGAGAGTTTTCCACCGGAGGTTTTCCAGGATGGAGGTAGAAAAATGATGTTTAAAGTGAAGGTGGTACTAGGTGGTAGTGTATGGGAAGTAATCAGAGCTGGTCCTTTCAGACTGGTGTACTTCACTGATCATCGCAGTGTATGAAAAGAGAAAGAAGTCTTCTTGTGACAGCCATAGGTGAATCAATCAGTTTAACTAATATCGTGTTGAAGACTCTTAGTTTGATAGTTATGCGATGCCTAATTGTCGTTCGAGAAGATCAAACTCGAATTAACTAGTTAGGTTTTAGACGTTGACGAGGGTGCATCAATTGTATATCCACTCTGCAACGGTTTCTGGAGCACAGACATACCTACGGGTCAGTGGCGAACACTTGGGATATTCATTGACCTGAAGGTGGTATTTGACTCAGTCGACCATGAGGTGGTATTGTGGTAGTGTTTGATCTGATCAAGTATATAGTGCTAACCAGAGCTGTCTACTTGAACTCACGCAGCCGTGTGAGTGTTTATGGAGAGTTGTCACGTGAATTGACAACAACTAGTGGTGTGCTCTAGGGATGGTCACTGTCGCCGTTCCTACTTAACTTTGTTATTGACATACTAATGGACGTGAGCTTAAGTACGTCTGACTTCATAGGAGTTGGCGTACTCTGTGTGGATGTCATCTGGTTTACTTGGAGTATGTAGATGATAGGTGAAGACCCTGACGCAAGGTTGGGTTTTGTGAGTGCGTTGAACATAAATCTGAGTATGTTTGACTTGTATGCGTGGCGCCGTTGACTAGTGAGACTTCCGACTATCTATCAATGGACAAGTGTAGTGCTGTGTAGTTCGTTTTGTCCTGTTGTGTTGTTGTGAGACATGGTCGTTAAAAGTAGAGGATATGAAGTGGTTGGTTGGTTTTAATCATAGATGTCTTCGTAGCACTGGTGGTGTTTGGTGGAATCATTGTGTGAGTGGTGTTGAGTTGAGGTGAAGGGTACTAGAGAAGACAGGCAAGTCGATTGGGAGATTGTGAAGCTTATTGTCGGTTGAGATGCCTTGTATATGTACTGTGCATGTTGAGCCACTAGCTCTCTTGACGTTGCATGCTAGGTTAGGTTGAAAGAGGGTTCAGAGTGACCAGTCGTCGAAGTCTATTGGTGTTGGTGTGAGCCGTGTGAGGATGTGTATTTGTAGAGTGTGTGATTGAGGTTATTGAGACGAAGGGAATCGTTGGTTGAAAACTCTGTGGTATGGGGGGAAATCGGTGACAATGGCGTAGATGTATTCAGTCCTTAACATCTTGTAAAATTTGAATATTTGCTCTAACGTTGATATTTGAGATTGTTTATTTTCTCATGACTTTATCTACTTTGATATGACTCTTATTTTGTGTTCCACCTGTTCTTTGTGTACTACTGTGAAGTGTAAGTGTGGCAACTTGAGCCGATGCATTTATGTGCTAGATTCTGCCTTGATCCCATTATTCAGTGAGTGCATTTGATACTCACTTATGTGTCATTATAGGACTATGCCAAAGATGTTTATAGAACTATGAGTTGCATTGAATGCTACATGTCCCTCATGTAATCTTGCAAAGCGGTCTGAGTTTAGTTATAATGAGGTAAGTCATTGGTTTTGGAGGGTGGAGGGTGGAGCCATTTTAGTTCCACCTTTAGAAGTCAATAACTCATTGTCAAACGAGGTGTGTTATAGCCACAATTATCGAGTGTGTATGGGAAATCTATAGAATATATATTCAAAGTACTCCTAGCTATTTATCTTATCTACTTTGGTTTTGTCATGAATTTATTTCCGCTCTAATATATTTGGGCATCGGATTAGAAAAATTTAAGGTTTTTACATAAGTACCCCTTGTTGTAGTGGAGCATTCGGAAATCGTGTTGGTACTTTTTACTTGTCGTACATTTGTAGTTAAAATGTGGAATGTGCTAGTTGTTTAAGATGTAAAGCAGAAACTATACCGCTGTTCCCTCACTCCGTAATGCAACTAAAATAATGATGATTATAGGTTTTTGGCTGGTTTGGTCGAGAATCAATCTCAGCAAAACGAGGTTATATCCGTGTGTAATCTTCATTTTAAGCTTATTCTTTTTTCATTCTCGTATTTGCTGTTTGCTTCAGCTAACTGTCCTAGTCCATTCACAGCTGCGCATATCATTGTTTTCATTTCTTTGTACTTCTTAATGTCATCTACTTCGTATTATGTGTGTGACAACTTGGACTAATACTACATTTAAATTAGTTCATACTTTGTTTGTGGCTGACTGACTAACTGTAGCTTTTTTTTGCCTTTTTATTATCGATCAGTATAGTAGTATGTCTTGTATTTGTTGGATCACTTTCAGGATATAAAAATGTAGATTTAATTTTAATGAGTAAACCATCACTATATCTTCCTTGTTTACTTTCTAATTCTGCTGTACTTGTAATGGTGACTTATTTTCTGATGAAATATGATGCAACCCATCAAAGACGTATAGTTTAAAACTGTAAGCGATATTTTGAAGATGATCACGAAAACAGATGGGACGAAATGTGACTGTAATTTTGTAGTTGATAGTTGAATGAAGAAGCTAATATATGAAGAACGTAAGTGTTGTTACGTCTACTGTTATTACAATTGAAAAGAACTAATTTCACCTTAAAAATAATGTTCAAATTGTATAAATTTTGAGTTGATATACTGCTTGTATCAATAAGCTCTGTTTTCTACCACCTGATCATTCGAATAACATTTATTTTACAGCATTCTTTGACTGACTCTCAAAAAGAATGTATTCATCTTCGTAAAAAATACGAGAGTATCCAAGAGGCATATCAAAATCTGGCAAACGAAAGACAATCAAAGCTACTGGCATGTGAGAATTCGGAAAAACAAATTAAGGTAACCGTTGGTGACTTCATGTTATATTTTGATATCCATTAAATATATATGTTTAACAAACGTTGTAGCAAAATGTCAACAAGATTTGATTGTCAATTCACCTCTATGAATTATGTTATTAAAACTGTAATACTCTAAGAGATACCATAGTCAAGATATACTATGTATCATTATTTGAAATACACCAAATTCCCCATAATTATTTCTGCTGTTGCTTACAAAACCACTCAAGATTACATTAAGACAGCCGTAAGTGATGCATCGTTTCCATTGTAGCTTCACATATAGCGTTGGCTTCAGGAAGTATACGTTGAAGGATAAAAAATATTCTCCTCTTATTCTTTGGAAATGAAATCTGATCTGTGTGTCGTTTTTATTCAGGGTATCGCACAAATTCATGTTTATTCATACAAGAAATACTTATCATGTATTATGTACAGCATACTTGGTTTTGTCACTTGATGACCATTTTCCCATACATGTTGTGTAAGTCCTGGCTATTGGCGTAGCCTAACTTAAACAAAACTTCATCTCATCTTTGTGATTTCATACCATTTTTTGTCATAAAATATACTTATCCACCCTTTACTTCGAATGGTATTATGTTTGAATAGAAGAGTGATGAGTACTTAACTTATCGTGACCATGAATTCATCATTACTCAAATTATCAGTTAAAGCAGTGTAAAGTAAGTAAAGTCGTATTTGTCACGGACTGACCACTTGGGGAACCATTGAAAACCTGGGAGCACTTGACAGCTGTTTCGTCCCAGCATGGGACTCCTTAGCAGTAGGCACTCACGACCCGGCTAGGGATCGAACTCAGGACCTTCAGGTCTTACAGAGGACGCGTTAACAATTCAGACACTGGGTTGGAGTTTTATGGTTCACAGTTTCCAACTTCTGTCAGTTCGCGATATAGCGCGACTATCATCCCAGGTCTTCAGATGGCATCCGCTTTCCTTCCGATTGGTTGACCCCACAGGCCACGGCTTCTCATTAGGACTTAGTGAGGGGAACCATTAAAAACTGATGTGCAACTGATGTCAGTCCGTGATGAACAGTACCTGAAAATTGAAATCCCTATTCATCTCAAAAACGGAAATCATCAGTATTGTCGTTTGTAATTCATCCAATATTGCTCAGGTCCACATAGGCTGCTTCTAGGTTTAAAAGTTTGCGAATGGATATGCAACGAGAGTTTTTGAGGATGTCACTGGTATATGTGTGTATGTATCAAAATGAAGCTTCGTGTTCATCAGCAAAATCTTTTTTAATTTTAAGAAAAAGTCTCACGGTTTCCTGCAAAATCACTAAATAGCCACCTACTTGGTCCCTCACTCATGACGCCACATCCTCTGGATGGGGGTAAAATCGAGAAACCAAATTAACTAAACATCAAACTTGTATCAAATTCATGCGAAATGGTACATCAAATGATGAGACAAGAGTGGTGTGACAATTATTACTCAGTCTTATATTGTAGGTGTAAGATTTATATTCTGACAGATACACGTCTTCATGGAAAAAATATGTATGTTATATTGACAATAGTGTCACAGCCTACGTGAATTACTAGACGTGATTACTATGTGAACCAAGGAATTCTTTTATTTCCGCAACAAGAATATGTTATGTCCAGTACACACTACTAATATAAGTCAAAGAATCTTGGAGTTAAAACGTGCAACTTAAGTTGTAAACCACCTATTTCGATGTTGTTCAACCACCTCAATCAAAATAGCATACATATTAATCGCCATTCAAGTTCTTAGGTCAATAAATTGCAAACTTTCATGTAGCTGAGGTGAATTGCATTGTTTACCCATACCAAATAGATTTTTCCCTAACTTTGACACATCAGGATTCAGTTGCTATCTTCTCTTCTGTGAATAATGAATATTGGTTTCAGTGATGATGATCAGTACTTCCAGCGGCGAGATGAAAGTAAATATATGCATAGTGTAAGTATGGGTAAATACTACACACGAAATAAAATTACGTTAAAAAAAGACGGCCTTGTTGTTGATCAAAAGGATATATATCTCAGAAGGTGCTAGATCTCGTTTTTTGTTCTTCTATGGTTAGAAGCGTCAGTGATGGTATGTTTAGTACCAACCGGGGAGAGCACTACCTTGTAAACATATCTTTCTTTGGTAGTCTTAGTGTCAGTAAGTATTACTAGATATAGAAGATACTAAGATAATGTGTGTTCAAGCGTCGACGAAACCTGGGACTCGAATCCAGCTCCACCTGTTGGGGTCTTGACCACTAGGTAATGTTAACTGTCACAAATAAGATGTGGCGTTGATAATAAAATATATATTCTGTGGAGGTGGAGGTGTGAGAGGAGGTGTAACATTAAAGTAGCCGGGCCAGGTAATGATTTTAAGAAGACACGTTTGAACTTAATATATTAATCTTTTGACGGTCTGTCTAGCTACGGATAGAACAGACAACATGTTAACTGAACAAGAAAAGATTTCCGTCAATATGAAACTGAAATGTATGTTAATTTTGTCAGTCAGTCGGTCAGTCAGGAATCTGTGTGAAGATTTTTGAGCTGATTGATTTCGTCTGGACCATTATGTCACCTGAAACCTGAGCAGATGATGTGCTGACAAGGTATTATGCGAGTCTTTTTCAAAAATCTCATTTCTATGAAGAATCGGCAGTTTGACCAGAACCAGAGGATACAGAATAAATGCTGGTCACACTGAACATACTTTAAAGGTTCATTTAGTGCGTTATTGCGTCATATTGCGCTCTTTTGCATGTGTTTGACAAAGTGCTGTTTCGAAGTTATCGCGTACATTCTATGATACAGTTTTCAATTTTTAATTCCGCTTTTATGCGAGAATGCAAATTGTTTATTTACCGTCAAGTTTTTTGTGTTTAAACTCACAGTTTTACACCTGGCTACTTTTTTGATTCATTATGACTATTGTGGCTGTAAGGGTGCACCGAAGATAAGAAATCAGTGGCATATTTCTGCTTTCATCATACTTCATTTTTTGTATTTTCTCTTCCAAGTGATCTCATAATCCATTGCTTTTTTTGTGTGTATCTGTGTGAACTTGTTTCACTTTGATAGGTTTAGTTCACTTCGTTTTATGGTTATCGTTCATAATCTTAGATTGTAGGTTTGCTTAAATTTAGATTAGTGAGTATTGCTCTGTGTATCATAGAAATTTATTCAAGACAATTAAGTGAGAATAAAGAGTAAAGTAAAATGACTAAGTTCTTAATGAGTAAATTGCTATCAACATGAACCCGAAAGCAAGGAACGCTTAATAATAAATAATATATAAGAAATGAGTAGAATGAGAGAGTAAGAAGGGGTTGTTTTAAAACACTAATGATTAAGACCATGAAAGGAGCAAGGAATGAATAAGTCCCTTTCGTATGCAAAGCTCCTTCTTTTCTATTTTGAGGCAGCAATGGATCTATAAGAAGTGGGATAATGAAACACCTTGACAACCTTAGTTGTTCATTCTCAGCAACAACCTCTTTCAAAGTTGTTGACTAAGTGAAAAAGAAACTTGTCGAAGTCGATGTTCATTCGCCTATCTTGTATTACTGATGCTTTCGCAATATAAATATAAAAGCTAGGGCTTTGCATACTAACAGACTTGTTCAAAACCTGCTACTTTCATTCATTCAATTACCCACCTGACTAAGCACCTCCGAAATTTCAGTCTATGCCTTTTGGAGACTAGGTGATATGGCTCAGAACCCATGTCAGTGACGCAGATGCATGGACACATTATCATCATCTTAACCGCTATACATAGTCTCATCTCATTCTTCCTTTTTTTTCTACTTTCTATTTCTACTTCCTTTCTCTCCGTCTTCCATTTTATTGCCTCGTTACTTGATGTGCTAATATGCGACGTGGCAACTTGGAGCGTTACGCAGTAATGCCTGGTCCTATGTTGATCTTGATGATGATGACCCATGCATTTTGATTAATCTTCAATAATCTTAAATATTTTCATTATTTTAAGATGAAAATCGTACCTCGGTTCTTATATGTATTACTTTGCTTGTTGCTGTGCCTAAATATCTTTTCACACATCGAATAAATTGTACATTCTCACCAAAGAATGAATATAAGTTCGATTGTACAACTTAGTGCATGAAGTCACCGAATACTTTTTTTCTATCTTCTTAAATGTCTTTATGGGGATTTTTCGTGATTTATGTCTCACCTAGTTTCGTGCTTATTGATATTGTCACCTGTGTGGAGACTAGTGACGCGTTCATTGTTTTTAGTTTACGTTGTCTATAAATAAACGCATTTCATTCATTCTTGTTATTATTGTTATTAAAAAAGCCTTTCAAATCTTTTGTGAACCTGTTTTGTTACTTCATTGTGTAAACATGAATTGTAGAAGTATTTTTGAACTTGTTAACGATTGTTTAGTTAGGAAGTACTGATAATCAATTGTGGCAGTATTACTAACGTCGTAGTGTTTGCTGCTCTTACTCTAGAATCATATATTATTTCAAATAACTAAAAATTCCCATAACATTTATAAAAAGCAACAATCTGAATGAAGAATATTCTTTTCAAAAACTTCTCTTCAGGTTCTACGATTATAATATCCATTTGTACAGCGTAAAAAACAAGCCATGTTAGGGGCAGATACATTTTCAAAACGGAGTGAGATTTAGGGACTGTAAGGAAGTTGATTTATGTTTTTCAAATTAGCCAATATTGGGATGATACATATACAGAAGAATGATATGATGGCGAACAAAAGATGACGAATAAGGTGATAGGAGTGGTCTTTCGTTGGATGAAGGCCAGGTGAGAAGTAGCGCTTGGACATGTTATTTCTGAATGAAGAGTTCAGGCTTGATCAATCTTATTGCGACAGCCTCTGGTATGTTGAACAGGCTTTGGCAAGCTACATGTGGTGTCGTTTTTGGAACACGATGAATGACGTTGAAAGCTTTATTAGCATCTATATGATACCCTGGGTCGACTAGATGTGCATGGATTGAACTTCTCACCACCCTCATTTCTCCCTTTCCGAACCAAGCTGGTAAATACTCTCGTATCTGGAGATGCACCTGCCTAATCGTACGCCCTATGTATGTAGTTCCACAAGAACAATTAAATTGATATATGAAAAATGAAGAGCTGAGATTAGGTAGGCTATCCTTAAGTCTCGGATTGAGCATTGGCCGGTTACTGAGTGATATGCAAAGCCGACCTGGATAAAATGTCCTAGCTAGGGGTTGTGAATGCCACTTGTTGTTTTTCACTGAAATATGAATGGGCAGAACCTATTACGATTCAACCAGACTACCACAAAGCTATGACTTTGACTTCATACCTTCAGCATCAAATGTTCGAATCTCACTTTAGTTCATTGTTTACGTACAGTAAAGTGATTTGTTGGACATTCAGTTCATTCTGGATGGTGTTCTTATGTCTCGGTTTTATCATTATTTTTCCTTATAACATGACTTATGTTTCACACTGGCTTGTGTTTATTGTCGTCGCAAAATTTTAAAAATTCCTAGGTTTTTTACACTTACCCTTGTTTCGATTTCAAAAATTTAGGAAGACGAGGCAGAAAAGCCATGTCCAGTTAAGACTGATTATATTCAATTCGAGAAAGTATGGGAACTTGCTGAAGAGAGCTTCAAGCGTGCCATAGAAGCAAGTAAGAGTTTCTAGTACTTTTCGATTGTTTATCAATTTGATATTAGTTATGTTTCAGGTGTGGATCTTCTCTGATTGTATTCGGCCCGTTTATCTAATGTTTTGCTTTTATTCATTTGAGGCTTCAAGTTGACATTTGAATTCTACGAGAAACAAAAAGCTTTTCGCTTGACAAATTTTATGCTTGTTATTTAAGTATCTTGAATAACTTTTTGGTAGAATTCAGTTAGTAAAACTTTCTAGAAACCGGTACATAACTGAATACAATGAAGAGGTTTTCAGATAATCATCTCTGTGATGTTATATCTGGATCAATTTAAAGCAACTTCAGTCCAAAGAGATGGGTTTCGCACCTGTCAGAAATAAGATGATTCTTCAGGACTCCTCTGCAGCTACTCCCAGTTTAAGGATAGAGAGAGAATCGGTAGAGTTTGTTGATCACTTCCTTCACGTAAGAATTTACTTCAGCCCAATTAGGTAGGTTGCTGCAAGATCTCACCTCGCATACAAAATACGTGTTTGACACTTGTCATTCTATTTCCTCTCTGTCGCTGGTGTGATATTTGGCCACCTATTAAACGTCGAGTATACTGCTCTGCGGTTCACTCTGTCCTACTCCATGGCTATGAGACTTGGTTGGTAAAAATTAATGATATGAAGAGGTAATAGGTTTTTGGCCATACCTTTTTTTTCCAGAGTCGCTGATGTATAGTGGAGTGACTGTATGATCGATTGTGAGGTTAGATTAAGAGTAGTATTTGAGGAGGGTAAGTGAATCGATGAGTTTGTGAATGTTGACAGACTGAGGTGACTTGAAAATGTTATGTTCTGCACAGTCCGGACCATCGCCCACATCGACGTGCATTGTTAGCTGAAGCGGGGTTGGGTTAGAAGAAGACTAAGGATAGTCAAATCGAAATGTGAAAACAGTCTATGATGTCTATGGCTACTGGTCCGAACCGTGTAGTTAGGTTCAGACTACCTGGATGGAGTCTTCACGATAATAGGAATCAGTGGTTCGAGACTAATCGAAACGATTGAAAATCGGTCACATTGGCACATATATTCACTTTTTGGTGTCTTCTAAAGTTTGAACATTTTCACTAACCTTCATTACTCAAATTTTTTCTCCTTCCATGCAGTTTCCTCTTTCATATCAGTCTTCTACTCTGTCGTTTATGTTATTGTAAGATATAGTAAGTTGAACCGATGCACTTTTGTAAATGGTTCAACTTTGGCTTTGTTCCGCTATTTGTACCTCATATATTGCAGATTTTCAGATTTTTGTCTAGCAGTGCGTATAACTAGTGCGTTTGATTTCGCTACATAAAGCCTTGAACAAACATCTTATTTCTTCAAATTATAGACATGCTTTGTCTGACAGAGAGGGATTTAAGAATAATATCACATTATCTTGATGTTGTTTAGAAATCTCGTTGTTTTCCCAAAACCTAATTCTAATATGCTACAAAATTAGATAGTTTTCATTGCATCATCCTATCTAATTTTGTAGCATATTAGAATTAAGTTTTGCTCATTTACTAGAATCTGGGTTGGGAGTCAAATGAATTAGTCTTGGTGTGTCATATAGAATCGGTTGTGATTACAAATATTTATGGGTGCCTAAAGTGTTGTCCATAAAAATCCCTTTTCATTTTATGATGTCTGGTAATTTTGTATTTTGAGACATCCAAGGGTAGCCAAACTATGACATGGAAATAATCTGTGAAGCCGTCGACCGTTGTTCTGATCTGTCTAGGGGATTGCAACATTCTTAGTTGGGTTCCACGAAGAAACGGAATTCGATTATTGAGGTCTTCGTTTGTGACTCAAAATTGGTCTCATCAGCTTAGCTGCATCCACACTGCATCTTTATGTAAATCCGGAAAAATTTATGACTAGATCCTTAATCTATTTATCTGTGCTTTCTATTTCTTAATTTATCACGACTTTTGGTACTATTATTTCCACTGCACTGTCTTATTGTTCACCTCCATTTACCATGCTGTTGGGAAGTGTGATAACTTAGTCGAATACTGTTATTGCAGTCCTTATGTTGTTTCTTCTTGCGTAAACCTTGTTTTGTATGAATGACAGTTCACATTACTTTTCAGAACAAAATTTTCTCATGAATGGTTTGGGTAACGGTGTTTTGAAAACTCACGAGAATCATGATGGTGAGCGAGTACCTTGTTTTATATGCTTTTAGTTTTCATAATATTTTTTAACTTCAAAATAGTTTTCATCATGGATGGGCATCAACTAGTGAACCTTTGAAAATTAGGAAGTATTGGACAACTTTTTCATGATTTGCACAACGCGTTTATAGTTTTCTTTGTTCGATTGTTGAATTATATACGTAGTGACAAACTTCAGCTGTAATGGCTCACATCAGATAGACCTAAAAGGGTCTGGTAGCGCAGAATATTGTTTACTTAGTGCTTTGGGTGAGGAGTTGGCATTTCATAAGTACTAATGCCAATACATTTGAAGCCACGTTAGTACACTGAACAGTTTTACGAGACCGAAACTCATGGTTTGATCTATGAAGGCATCATTTTTATTGCAGACTCAGCTAATCCCGATTAGACACATTATCAGGAAAAAGGAAGAGCGGGAAAATTTTGTTATTTTGTTGCAGTGATGGTTAGAGTCGAAAACACGTTGATATTTACACAACTTCTTACCACTGACGTTTGAAAATATCCGTTAAACATGCGACTCTGTATAGGTTGCTACAAAACAGGTTCCTAACACTGGGAGCAACTAACTTCCTCAAAAGCGCTTTTCCTTCCCTTCTCTAAATCTTATCCTTATCCACTGAATAAAAAGTAACACCAATGACCTATCTTCAGATCACTTTCACTGAGGTGAGTGAAGACTTTCAACCGAAATTCCACGCGAATCACCAAGTTTATCTGAGGTCAATGACTAACTGTCAAACGAGGTGTGTTATAGCCACTATTATCGAGTGTGTATGGGAAATCCATAGATTATACATTCGAAGTACTTTTAGCCATATACCTTATCAACTTTGTTTTTCTTAGTCGTAAGTGTTGCACTGTTTATTGAAATATGGTATTTGGTTTCATTTTTAGAAAAATTAAATGACGTTGAGCAACAATCCGCTATTGAAAATAATATTGATCAAACAGAATTGTTTGAGTCTGATTATTTAAGCGAAAGCCAAGGTAATTGAAACCTACTATTGCTTTAATCTCGACTCTGCAATGATATCTTTTCTTTTTTTCATGAACTTTACATTCAATAGCGAGTTTTATTTCCAGTCTATATCCGCTTATGTGTCACTATAGGACTATGCCAAAGATGTTTATAGAACTATGAGTTGCATTGAATGCTACATGTCCCTCATGTAATCTTGCAAAGCGGTCTGAGTTTAGTTATAATGAGGTAAGTCATTGGTTTTGGAGGGTGGAGGGTGGAGCCATTTTAGTTCCACCTTTAGAAGTCAATAACTCATTGTCAAACGAGGTGTGTTATAGCCACAATTATCGAGTGTGTATGGGAAATCCATAGATTATACATTCGAAGTACTTTTAGCCATATACCTTATCTATTTTGTTTTGCTTAGTTGTAAGTGTTGCACTGTTTATTGAAATATGGTATTTGGTTTCATTTTTAGAAAAATTGAACGACATTGAGCAACAATCCGCTATTGAAAATAATATTGACCAAGCAGAATTATCAGATCTTCGTAATTTATGCAAAGTTCAAGGTAAATGAGACCTTTTGTTGCTTTGTTGTTGCCTCTGCAATGATATCTCTTCCTTTAAAAAAAGTGAACTTTACATTAAATAGCGATTTCTGTTTCCTGTTATTTCCTGTTAACCTGTCGTATTTTAGGGAGTGTAGGAGTTTTCTCGATGATTTTGGTACTACTTAGAAGTAATGGACTGAAATGGTTAGATGAGCTAATCATTGGCTTAGGCAGAAGTTTTTACACGTGATATTTCATCTTTAATTTGATCTTTAATTTTGATCTTCGGTTTTTAACAGCTGTATTCATTCCCTGCTGTAGCTGACCATATAATGTAATGTGTACTTAATAAGTCCAGAGTACTGCCAATTGGGTCAACCAGACGAAATTTCTGAATAAATTCAAAGATGACACCAGAGAACTATCATTTCCAAGTAGTAAAACTAATAATTAGGAAAGAATTAAGCTTAAAACTGATTCATCGGGTTAGAAGTTTCGAGCACTTGGCTACGATTCACACCAGTTGTGTGAGGGCCTATGATGCTGTCCGGGTTTCTTAGGTCGAAGTAAAGTACGTTGATTTCTCAGCGCTTACTAGTCGAAAGCCTAGTACTTGGACCATGAGATACATCATGTAGAAGTAATACGTAAGTTTATACTACCAATCTGTTTTGTCACAGTACGTACACTCGTATCCTGCAGATGCCGACCAGAAATGCTATCATTCTTTTGTAACTCATTGGTTCAGGTAGTTGATCCACATCTTTGAATCCTGCTCCACCCACGGAGTCTTTGACAGGGAGCACCAAAATGATGGTTGTCGCTCATCGCCTTCTGCACAAACGTCTAAATGGTTTCCAAAATCACTTCATTGTTTTGAAAGTTGAAGACCTAATAGATAGTTGATTATATTGAAAATTATTCCGTGATTTAGCTTCACTTAACAACGCTATTTGTTGTAGATTCCACTTTGCATGTTCAACATATACTTCAATCACTCCAGTCGATTTTCATTTACAAAATCAACGACACATGTTAATGTGAAGCTTAACTTGATTTCGACACTGATAGCCTTACCGCTAAGCATGGGTCATACTTCGATTATGAATTAGTTTTGGTCGGCTGTTTCGAATATTCTATCTTGTAACTTCAAGTCAGGACGGGGGATTGTTAGTACATATGTGGTTGCTCACAGATGAACAATCGGACTTGACTGTTTCATTTTTTTTGTAAATACTATATTCGGAATCTTACTAATAGTTTCCCAAGCTCACGCGATAGTTCACATATATTCTTTTTGTAGGGCGGTTTGTTTCCACAGGTGAAGAATACCATCACTCAAATACCAATGAAGAAATACTCGATTGTATTCAATCTATACATCATTGTTCCCAATCTATCAAATCTATTCAAAGTATGCATATTTATGTTCTGTATATCAACACAATTTTTGTTATCTTTTTTAACTGAGTATTATGATGTTTATTCCTTACCTTGAGGATTACTGATTAGAGAGAGAATTACTGGAACCGTGAACTAATTATTGTTATTGGTCTTTTAACTGTATTGATCTGCGGCTATTCTTCAGGTACATGCTAGGAGGTCAGAGTCTGGATATAAAATTGGTATCAAATCCGATTTTTGATAAGGTTGTAAGTAACCTGGAATCAAGAGAGGAGGGTGACCATTATTAACCTTTACCAGACCGTATTCAATGACAGTTACTGAATATTATTGGTTACGCTAGCTGAAGTGTTAGTTAGTTTCTGAGAATCAGATATGATCCGCTGTAATAGATTTTAATCATTGATTACCTCAGCCTGTTAGAGTTTAGTGAATTGACCTAAGGAGGATTCTAAGTTCTGTAGTCGTTCGATATCTAGCTTCGAGAATCAGATAGGTTTCAGACGTGATCGTTAATGTGATACCTAAATCTTCTCTGTTGTGCAGAGGTTCACTTTGTGGCACTCATCACGAGCTATAATTCTTGACTTAAAGACAGCATTTAACTTCGTCAATTGATTTTTTATCATTGAGTGTTGCGTAGTACATAACCCTATTGAATGTGTTAATATGTGAGCAGTTATGGTTGCGTTAGCGCTTATCCTGAGCTATTGGGCGAATTGTCTACGTGGTGTTTGTCCAGTATATCCACTATCCTCAATATTTTCCTTTATCGTAGACACGCATATACAGGTTTCCCTCTCCTTGTTTGAATTAATCTGGTTGGTATTGTCTTAGAAGACTCCGGAATCGACCTAGAGGATGCAGAACATGTCCTGATTTACGTTTCTTGCCTAGGTATGGAGTACAAAGGTGGGGTGGTAATTCGACCGATGAGGTTATCAGCCCTCGCCGATTGAATTAGCTTGAAGATGTGTTACGAACGCCCGTCCAACATCTATTTGGAAGCGACGTGGTCACCAACATATCAGACCGAAAGAAAGCTGAATGTGGACAAATTGGGATGTGGCACAAGTCTGTAAAGTTTTCGATGGTCGGTATGCGTCGTGTAGGTTGATGTAAACTGCTTGACTAGTATTGTCGAGACGATGGGAACGAGTAGTTGTAGACTGTTGGTGACATGGTTCAAACGCAACCTCTATGACGCAGATATTATATACAGCGTCTGTCATTGTCGATGTCTTGAATATTTTCATTAACCTTTGTTTATTTATTCTCCCAGATCGTATTCACTTTTGTCTACTTTGGCATCTCTATTTTTCATGCAGTTTTCGTTCGCATGCTGTTGGAAACTGTAATGACTTAAAATGATGCGTTTTTGTGCTAGTTTCTACCTTGATTGTGTCTTTATCTGTCTGTATGCTAAGTCGTATCTGTGACTAATAATTATACCCTAGTGTCTCATTATTTACTACAACATTTTAGTTGTCCGATTAACAGATATGCTTTCCGTGTTGTTTTGTTTCGGGTATCTGTTTTTTCTCTCACCATTTTTTTAATATTTTCTCTGGTCTATTCATTTAGATAAACTAAGTATTTTGGCTGAGTTCAAGAAATCAGACTCATCAATTCTTTCTACACCGGTGAACTCAGATCCAATAAAAATGAAAACGGATTCTTACCAATCTAATGATTCTGTTAATTGCAGTGTGAATTCAGAGCGAAAATATGACGCAAATGATTGTAAAAAACAGACTTTTGAAGCATCATCACAGCGTGCAACAGAATATGCCGCATTGATTCTTAAATTTCTTAGTCATTTTCGTGAACATTTGTGCTCTCTTTTTGCCTTGCACAATGAGAGTGATGATTCTGACCCCCTTCACACTTTTGGTAAGCTGTTGTTATGCTTTTTGGTGTGGAGTTATGTATTAGCTTCGCTTGCTGTTTGTTTTTCAAAAAAAATTAGCGTATTGTGTCTTTAATGCATACTTTTCACAGAAAATCCTCACTGTATCTTTCTAGATAACTAGTTGAATCGTCTCTACCAAAACTCGCATGATTACATGGCTTCTAAATGTTCTTAGTGCTACTACGTCGACGTGGTTGTCGGAATTGCATATCACAATGACCCAACAAGCCACGCTTGTAGGACGCTTGTTGCCTAAAGGTCCTACTATACCAGAAAGGTCTGTTCAGTAGTAGTTAGACAAAAAGCAGTTACTGTTATGGAGTGGATTTTTACGCTACGATAGATGTCTGAGAGCGAAGTTGTACTGCTGGTTGGACGGATGTGTGACAACAGTAAGGTGGGTGTCCCTTGGATATCCAGCAGTGTCGCCCTTATGCTGCCTTCTCTATGGGAAGGGAGAGGGGGGTAGAAAAGATCGTCTCTGAAAACTGCACTCTTCCAAATACTCTGTGGGATGCTCATACCTGTGGCATGCGTTCATAGTCGGATAGAAATACAAAAAACCTAAATATCAAAGTTCTTAAAAGACTGTAAATGACCAGCCTCGAGCAGATGTCCCTTGAACTCTGTGGTTGCGCACTAACCCTTCTTTTTCAGGTACCTCAAGAACACGGCTTTCCATGGTGTATGCAGTCGTAAGTGTCAACCACCCACCCAACTCTCACCCTCAAATCCGTTCAGAATACTGTCCTATATCTATACCTTTCATTCTTCTTTCACGTCTCTCAGTCAACTTTCCTACATCATCTCTAACTTCTTCCAAATCTGCAGCTCTCGACAGTGGTCTGAGTTGACAGAGCAGCATCTTTGGTTTCCGGAAACCTCGCTCCAAACTATATATTGCGGCTTCCATCGTCTACAACCTCCTTCAAATCGGCCAACAAGCCTCAAAAGCCAAAACTGTAGCAACTCGAGCCTTGGGTGTGTGTTGTGTTTGTGAGACACGCATACAGGACTCAAGTGAGGTTATTCACTTAACCTCTCCTGTTCTGTATGCTGAGTCCACAAAATTCACCCTTCGAGTTTCTGGAGATTCGATGGCAAGTTCTCGCGGTCCCGCAGGTGTAGGCATAGCATTGAGCATTAAGGCGAGAAGCTCACTACTCGACTGGATCTCAGTTGACAGTCACCTATACACTGTCTGACCGAATGGTATAGGAGGAGTAAAATGAATAGTGAAACTCACCGTTTTCTCTGTAACCTCTGCTTTCGCACCTACTGACTGAAGCTCGGAGGAAGTAAATGATGAGTTCTATCAAAACTGTCTAGCCTCCTACTGAAAGCCAAGCATTCAGAGGTGGTTGTTGTTGCAGGTTATTTCAATGGACAAGTCAGTAGGTTGAGTCAGATAGAAAGGGGTTTAGGTGTTACTTTCGAATCCCAGCCGAGTGAACAGTAAAAATTGTGCTCGGATAACCGTTTATTTCTAGCCAGGACAAACTTCAGATATAAATAAAAATAGTGTCTGTCGTGGCGCCCACTGAGCTCAACTCAGGGGTGGACGTAGTTAAACTAAATTCCCATCAACCATCGCTGGAGAGAGTCCCCGGAAGACTGACGCTCCGTCTGGAGTACGTATTTGAAAAAGGATCATGTGTGGGTTCTAATTAATGTGTCTGCGTCTTAACGAAGGTAGGAGAACTATAGCAACAAAATCATTAGGAGTGCAGTTCGACGATGAGAGAACTAAGGCTGATTTCAATGATAAACTTGCGTGACAGTTAACGCAATAGAGCAATATTGCTCATCCAGAAGCCTGATGGCATCTCCCGTCTGTTGTAAAAACATTGTTGGAGACCGTAGTTGACTCATAGAGAGCGGTTGAAAAGAGCCAGTTGATCCGAACCGCTTATGAATTAATAGATACACATGATTGCATCCGTGCCGGTTCTGAGTACAGTGAGGAGCGAATGAAACTCACTTAGACTAACGACAAGTCTACGGAATGATCACAAACAGTGGTGAGCAGCGGAGATAGGTAACATTAGACAGTTATTTAGACTTATCAAAGAAACTGGCGAAAAGGTCAGTGGTTAGTGAAACGATATAGAAGAATAATGAGTCTGTGATTCATTCGCAGAGGAGACGATTGGGATGATGAGTGGAACAGTTCAACTGGGTTCTATCCATTATTTTGTTTCTCGATATCCAAGTAGAACCCATAACACTTGCAGAAGTCGAGAACTCTGTAGGTAACGCGAAAAGAGGAAGTGCAGCAATGTCCGACGGACTAGTTCCAGGTGTGTATAAAGATGGTGGTCAAGGATTGCTGATCATATTAACGGATGTTAACGTGAGTACGGGAGTTAGATACGATCTCCTTTGATAAGTCTCAATCACCGATTGTTCCGGTCAAGAAAGACTAGAAGTCTTCCTCTGATAACCACAGGAGAATCAGCCTGGCCAACGTATTCCATATTACATCTGTTTATTTGATTCATAACTGTGATATAGTATTATTTACTTGATGACGTTCCAGGCACAAATTACTGCTCAATCATATCAATAATCATATCGCTTTCAACAATTGACTTTTATAGTCCTGTCGCCTCATATGTTTTTTTTTATTGGTAGTAAACTTTTTCATATCTCTGGTATACGTGTTGCGTCATTTCTGTTAAATGTGTTGGGTGTTAATTCCACTAACAAAGCCTTAGTAATCTATCACTCTCTCCACCAAATTATATTGGACAGTGGTTTTATCCCACCCTATTGTGGTTGTGTGTTAGTGCATGCATTGCAATAGCAGAGTTACTTTCCAGATAATTGATCTTATTGGGGTGTCATTCTATATTTAGCTAGATTCTTATGTTCCACTAATTACATTGACGTAATTATGAGCAATAATTTATGCTCGAAACGTCAAGTCAATAATACTGCATCTTCGTGTTATAAATCAAATAAAAAAATGTAATATAGAATTACATTCTATTACAGTGTCCAATTTTTAAACTTATATTAATAACGAACATATTGTCTAAGTTTCTAGGTTCTTAATTATTAGTCTTCTAAGTGTAGCTCTGGAACAGCAAGCCTGAGGAAACTAGGCAGGCTTCAGACGTGGTCGTGAGTGTATCAACCAAATATTCACACGTCGCCAGGTTCTGGAACACTGGTGCACTTACGTGGGCCTGACACTAGCATTGTCTTTCAGTGAAAGGGGAACCGAGTAAATACACTCTGTTGAAGGCTTTTTAATCGAACACTTATGGGCGTGTTAGAACCTATGGTGAGTTGTTAGGTGAGTGGTGTCCATCAAGGATGCCCACTCTCTCCATTCCTGTTCAGTTTTATCATATACTTTCTTATCGAGGTCTCCTTCTCATCGTCTGACTTCATGGCGATTGATCTAATCACAGGAGAATCCTTGGTGGATCTAGAATTTGGAGATAGCATAATCATGTTAGGGGAAGACGCTGGCAAAATCAGTCTTTGAATACATTGAGTGGGAATTTGAGAATGTTTGCATGCGTTTCTCCCCACCCAAATGTAAATTATAGCTGTAGAACTGATCTTCCTTGTTGCTTTGTTTAGTGGTCGGGATCGAAATGATTGAGCGCGCTGACTACGTCACATATCTACGAAGTCGAATCAGTCTTAGTTGGTCAATGATTAAGGAAATCTTTGCATGGATACTAACGAATCGGGTGCTTTTCACTAACCTGCCCCATCTTTGGTGTTGCTGTGATATGTGATTGTCTGCTAATGGTCGAATAAACTGTGCTGCAGTTGTCTTTGTTCTACTATATGGCTGTGAAACATTGACATTAAACGTAGAGTACATGAGAAGGCTTAAGGTGTTTGACCACCGTTACCTTTGTAGCTTAAGCGGTGTATCGTGTGTCATCACTTCAGTAATGTGAAAATCAGGTGTAGAGTTTTACCAAGACAAGTAAAGTTAGTTGATTACGTTATGAACCTTCATCGCCTCAGGTGGCTGGGGTATATGTTACATATGCCTTGTCACAATTTACCTTGCCGCATATTGTTGACTGAAGTAGGTCCAGACAAGAAAAACGATTAGGGACGGCCAGACTGAAGCATAGTATCAGTGCATGAAGTCGTTGACTGTTGGTCTGAGCCATGTAGGTGGAGGCATACTAGCCGGTTGGGGTTCGTGTGACATCAAAAATCAGTAATGGAGACTAGGTGATATGACTCAGAGTCGAAATCAGTGGTACAGATGTATCCACACTTTATTTTCATCTTAACAGCTATACCAAATTCACCATTTTCTCATTCCTCCTTTCTTTCCTTTGTTGCTTTCTGTTGCTATTGACCAATTTCTCTCCTTCTTTACCTTTCATCTTATTACTTTGTTACTTGGTGTGCTGATATGAAGTGTGGCAACTTGTACCGTGATGGAGTAATTCCTCATCCTTTGTTGATATTGATGACGATGAGTGCATTCAGTTGTCTTTTGTGTAGAATTCATTATTAAGCTTCAGTATCGATTAATAGATGGCACTAACACTTTCCAAATTTGTTAATAAATGTATCGATACTATAATTGCGTGGATGAAAATACCAGCTGTACCATTGCCTTTCTGTGTTTAACATAATCGCTCCATTTAGGAATTTCTTCCTCTGTTCGCTGGTTTTACCGCATCCTTCAACATGTATCTGTTTGGATCTACGCAAAAAGAAACAGTTGTTTAATGGCATTCTCAGTATCTGGCTTGCCAATCTATTAATTAGTGAATATTTTGTCGCTAGGTATACAGTCTTCCCTTACAATCTAGCAGTCATACCTTTCCCTCCTTGGGTCTGTGTGAAAATGTCAACAGTAGTCTCCTCAGCTGTTGCATTTTATTATTCGTGCTTGTTCATGTACATATTAAGTAGACAAGCGTATCCGATGGTTAGTTTAATTTGATATGCGGAGTTTTTTAATCTATGCTTGTTCTTATGTTTGTACATTTCTTCATTGTAGATTCTCAAACCTTCTATTATTTAGATGATATATGTGTACTCCCGGATGATTTAGTAACAACTCATATCAACAAAAGGGATGTTAGCACTGAAACGGAGGCCTATGACAATCAAAATCAATTGACTGAAGTGGTTATTGATGAACTGACAAACTTGAAAGTTGTTGTAGATCACTCCGAAACACCTAATTTTATAAAAACTCAAATACAGGAGAACTTTCGAAACTTCGTGGTAAGTATAGATATCATTTTAACGATAGATGAGTAACTATTGCTGCAGCTATTTTTGCGGATAATATTACCTTGGCAGGTTGCCAGTGTATTTTCACGCTTGCTTGTAATAACTTTTCAAACAATTAAGCAGTAACATTTGTAGGATACATTAAATGAAATAGCTATGTAATTATGTTTTGCTATTTTGCACTGATACTCTATAATAACATAGCTTTCTGTCATGATCTTTGTGTCGCTATTTTTTATTCAGATGAGCTCTCAAAGTCTGCCCAGGAGATTGAAGCCTATAAGCAACTGACTGACGATTTAAGAAATCAAGGTATGTCTTTTCTTTTGGTTTGTTTATACTTTGTGTTTTGTTCCTGTTTTATAACTTACTGACAATAAATATCTCGTTCATCATGAATGAATGGTAACACTGAACATTTTGTGAAAATTACTTACGATAACTGTGTATATGTTGTTATGACGATTGTCGAATGTGAATCAAAATCAGTCCTTTGAAGTAACTGGTTTGGACTTTCAAGCGATTTCGAATGAGTTTAGTCAGTTCATTTTCCTATATTTCTAGTTTTTGTTTAACCATCCTTACACATCCGGCAGATAATTGTGCATTCAAATACATTTTATACTTTATCTAGATTCTGCCAAAGCAGAATTACTGTTAATAGTCCGAGAAGAATGTGATGCATTACGACGTAGAATAACCGTTATTGAGACTGATGTGGCAACTAGTCGTGCTGATCATCACCGTCTTGTATCTGAAGCTAGAAGAGCCCAGGCGGAAGCCGATGAGTTAATACGTGAGCGTGACAAGTTATCAGATCAAGTAAGCCAATGATTTACTGATGTTATTGCTGTAATTTCTCGTCGTTGATTGAACTAAACGGATCGACTACTATTAGTGTATAGGCGTCTGCGCACACACCTCGTAATTACCAATGATTTTCTTTTCACTTATGTAAAGTTATTTCTGTTCGAGAATACGTAATTGTGGTGATCTATGTTTAATAGACACTGGTTTCATCGTTTATCGCAATTCCTCTAGCTTCATGTTAATGTGACCTTCGAAACTTACAAAGGCTTTGTGGAGATCTGGTAATCTTCGTAGTAACTGTCTAATGAATGTTCAAGAAAGCGTGGAGGTGAATAAAATCATGTCTCGGCTCAAAGTGTCATGCTTTGCATCACTCTATAACAACCAGAAATCAATACATGGAAAGTTGTGAAAATAATAACATCCTAATATATAAAGAAGCAAAACAAAAATACATAGAAATGGGTTTGCTGAAAAAATCAGTTGCATAAAAGCAATAAAATATTTTGGGTTTATTTGTACCACTATGATTCATTTAGGTCTCTTGTGAACTTCTGCTTGCAAACATATAGTCAAACAAAAACGACATAGAACCTCACACAGAAGTGCATCGGTTCAAGTTGATATATTTTACAGTAGCGTGAAAAGAACAGTTGGATAGAAACAGCTGATACTGATATCTAAGTTGACAAAGGTATATGGAAGGAGAAAAAAATTGAAAATGAAGGTTAGTGCAAATATTCAGACTAAGGTTATGTCCATTGGTACGTCTATAACGAAGAGGAACAGGAACAGTGACAGTGGGTATCCCTGCTGGGTATTACTAGTCGTCAATTCTGATGACAACTCTCCATATGCCCTTACATGGCTGTGTAATTTCGAGCATAGTTTGAATTAGCGTTACATACTTGCTCGATACGCCTTTCACATTCAGACGCTGACATCACCCCCTGATTGACAGAGTTGAAAACCACCTTCAGGTCAGGGAATATAGCATGTGTCGATCGCTGCTATATATATCTGTGTTACAGAATCTATCAAGGAGTAGGGTGGTGGTGGTGGTGAAAATCTGGTCTATGCACCCTCATTCAGGTCTGGTTTTTCCGAGTTGTTTGCTCTCAACTCCAGTGAGGTGTGGGATAACTATGAAACCCAGGATCTTGGATACGATGAAGTTTTTGCAGAAGACTTCTCTGCCTTTTCATAGACTTCGATGATCAGTTTAGTAGATCACTGAGTAATTTCTCAGTTCCATCTTCAAATGGTGTTGGCAAACCGTCAGGTTCTGTTGCTTTTCATCGTTTCAGGTTAGATACAGCCTCCTCTTCCCTCCGCTCTTCATTGTGGTTAGAGTCAACTAGAATCGGTCTTTTGTACGAATCAGTTTAGATGACGTTGAGGAAATCTAGTGACGTTTTCTAACCTTCATATGCAGATCGCCAACTTCCTTTAGTGGCATTTCTACAATAGACTTAATATCACGCCTAGTTTCCACAGGATAAACGTTGCTGTCACGTTCAAATAAACGCATAGTTATTATTATTATTATTATTATTATTATTTGTCCTTTGGGTCCCTAGTGGAACATAGGGCTTCAGTAGCACGTCTCCATTTCACTCTATTCTCTGCAGTCTTTCCAACCAGGCTCCACGACGACCCACAAACTTTCATTCCTTCCTCACCATCTATCTCCTCCATGTCACCCTTGCTTCAAACACGCAATTCGTCGTTTCCCATGTAGGTTCCACTCGACGGCCTGGCCTGGCACATGATGTCCCCAAAACGGTCTTTTCAGTGTATGCCAAATCCAATCCATCTCCACCTTCTTCTGCATATTTGTTGGGCGATAGGTTGTTGGTTGGTTCGTTGACAGTCAGTCAGTCAGCCAACCAGCCAGCCAGCCAGCCAGAGCTCCTTGTTACTTATTCTTTCTCGACATCTGATCTTTAGTGTCAGTATCGAGTGAGCTAGCGTAGACAGCAGCTGTTGATGTATATCTGTAGTTTGTTGGAAATGCTTCTCGTAATGCGCCAATTCTCTCAACCATCACATAGAAGCACTGACTTGACTGAATCAGTGTTGAAAATCTGGATCTTGTTCACGCTCTATGCTGAGTGAAGTGTAGTGCAGTAGATCTCCACACTGATTTCAGATTAATGAAGGAAGGTCTGTCTTTCTGTGTTTCCGATCCTGGCTTTGACATCCTCATCTGTGCCTGTGTCGCCTGTAGTTGAGACGATGCTGTCTTGCCTAGGTAGGTGAGAGAGACAACTTCCTGTAGATTTCTCTCGTTCATGGTGATTGGTGCTTATTGTTGATGTTGTTGTTGATTGGGTATCTTCATCTCCTTTGTCTTCTCTATGTTCACTTGAAGTCCCATCTTCGCTGCCTCATCTCTTCTGTCAACTTGTTGGTTTTCGCCTGTAGATCTTCGAGTTTGTGCCACATGACATTGGACACAAATCCTGATGGGCGAAATCCAAATCTCCTATGGCCTTTCCACTGGTCAAACAGCGTATGTCCATCTTCTCACAGCTCCTCACAGTTTGTTGTATGATCCAGTCGACCACAATCAGGAAGATCATCGGTGATAGTAGACAGCCTCGTCTTACTGCTGTCTTCCCTTCAAAGGCGTCAGTGAGCTTTCCATTGTGGCGTCGTTATATAGCTGTTGAGTTAGGTTGGTAAAGGTTTGAGGCACTAAAACCGTGGTGTTGAAGGAGTTTCTAGATTTCTTATCGGTTGACGCTGTTGAAGGCTTTTTCAAAATCGTTGAAGTTGGGGTAAGGTAAAGAGTTGACTGCAATTCCATGCTCTGCTCTATGATGATGTTTAGTGTAGCGTTGCAGTTTGATCCACGCATGATTTGTTTTTCTTGACTCCAACCTGTTTCGGTCGTAATTTTGATTCCAGAGCATTTTTTTAGTCTGCCTAGGATGCGTACTTGGTGTCTTCGTCTTCCAATGCAGCACAAATAGTTTTCACTATCGCCTGTTTCCCGCAACGAGTAAGGGGTAGAAATACACAAGCCCGTACCAACGTTTGACTGGAGTCGAAACGGTTACTCCAGAAAGAGCGGGAATCCTTCATCAACCGTTTCCAACGACGGCTTGTAGCAGTATGATCTTTTTGTGTCCATCATTGGTTTGATGTCGGCGAATGTCAATTGGAACAGTATCTCTACTTATACTTGAAGTTAGCGTTGACTGAAAATTAGTGATTGTCTTAACAAAATTACAACAACGGTCACAGTTGTTGGTACCGTGTTCCGAAAATATTTCCAAGCTGCCTTCCCGACTGCCTCAACTTCCCTACTTGAACGGTTTACCCACCTGCTATTTTAACTATGTCTGAACGTCTTGCTTTCTGTAGCAAAATTGACGGCTTTTGATCGAATTCATCTTTTGCATCATCTGAACTGCAGTCGGTGGGTGTTTAGGTAGAGATTGTGAATAGCCATTGGCTAGTCTCTCGGCTATATTCCTTTTTTCACAGATCCATTCAGTCGAGCAGCCTGTAGATGACTGTTGACTGGTTTCCAATTGGGGAGTGCACTTTCTGCCCGAAAACCTAATACTATGTCTGCACCAGAGAGTCCCTGAGGGTTAGCCATTGGGTTTTTGGACACTCGTAAAGTGAACTTTGGAGAGTCACTAAATAGGTCACTTTAACAACAACACTCGAGTCCCGTTTATTTGTCTTAGATACAGGATTCATCTATGACTCACGATTCTACAGTTCTGGCGAGTGATGCTTGCGGTCGGATTTGGCATATGATTCGGATGTTGTGAGGTCCAATATGAAATGAATAGCGGAGTTTTAGGGAACTGGAAATGAAGCTTCGATGACTTCGGTAGTTGTGAATGTTCGGAGAGTAAAGCTTAATGTTGGTTGGTTTCAGGAAGTGAAGGCAAAGAAGGAGACAAAGTTGAGGAGAATTATTGGGTCCTGTGTACTACTGGGAGCATGTGACCGTTGAGACTTTCCGGTTACCAATCACTAGAAGTTGTTTCTACGGGGTAGGTGGGAGAGTAAAAGGAAAACAGCTATGTGACTGCCGAGGCTACAGAGCATCTGCTTGAGGCTTATCACACAGCCTTTTGGGGATTGTTAGTTCACGATTTGGTTGGTCTTACGCTACTAGGAAAAGCCTGTGCACCTGCCCTGGAGGATCGTAGGACAGGGAGGAGTGTGATAATTTTGGGATGAACTTCTTCCCACCGAGATAGCAGCATGGGCATGGTACTCCTGGTCTTTCAAAGGAAAATGCCTTGCTTCTGTCACACTTCCGTACAGCCAGTAGGACGACTTTGCTTTCGGATATCCATCATAGCGTAAAAATCCACACCACTTTGGTAACTACTTTTTCCCTAGTCCCTATTTAACAGAATTTCTGATATGGTTTGACCTTGAAAAATTAAGTGTTCGACCAGAATAGCTCGTTGGGTCATTGTGACATGAAAGTCCGACCACCACGTTAGGGTACTAGTTATCTCTCGGGATGCAAACGACACAGTTATTCATTTAACTCAAACTAACAAAAGGTTTCATAGTTTGGTGTCAAGTTTCACCTTAGTCACTGAGTTAATGTAGACGATAACCAGATCTGTACAAAATGTATCCTTAACACCGACCAGTACATTCTCGAAACTCACTGACTGATTCACCTCTTGATTTTACTTATCAATTAACGTCTGTGCTCACTCCCAGCTGCCGTCATTCTTGAACAGTAGTTCGCAATAATATGTGAGTAACCTTTTTTCATCTGGGTGTACATGCCTTCCATCTTCGAGGAATATGAATCAGTAGTTTTACGTAGTTTAAAAATCCCAATTGTCATAAAACCAAAGACGTATAGCGAAGAGTCACTCTTTACATCGATATCATTCTCAAGCTGTACAATCGATATCAATATTCTGTTCACATAGTAACAGAAAAGGAATGTTTCATTAATTTTTTTGAACGAAGTTCATACTGGATTATAAATAAGGAGATCGAAACAGAAAGAATTATGTAATGATTGAAGTAATAATGCGAAGAAGACTTATCAAAGCAGAACTAATATTTGGTTACCAAGTTAAATGATGTAACACGGTGAATGTAAAGAGAAATGAGGATTATAGGAGTGGTGGAATTTAATGTGTGAGATCTTAATGAAACTATTTTTGAAGATAAGATGTTCTTATAGGTTATTTCTTTTGCAACTCAAGTGACTTGTCAAATTCCTTTTGAACGCATAGTTCAGCCTTCAAAATATCAATTGCCATGGCTTCCGCAATTTGAAGAAATATTAGGCGTACACCTTTAACGAGATTTGCATGAACTCTACAGACGACTTTGAAGTTGTTTTTCCATTTACCGGGTGATCTTAATCGATCAAATGTTCTAAAATAGAGCTGTGAAGTGTCCTCCTTTCTCCCTTATGAAACTGGGCTGCTATATGTTTGAGAATGCGTTTGAAAAGCCAACGTTGAGTACATTCGATATACCAGGGGGAGGTGAATGGATAACCACACATCTAGGTGGCCAAGGGATCTAGCTTATCCTTTACGCATAATCGAAGCATTGGATGAGTATCAAAAGTTAATCTGAGTTCAGCGGTTTAGAAAGTTTTTCTCAATGAGCGTGCCAGAGGGTTTCTCACTATATCTGCTGATATGTCTCCATTGAACTGTAATCTCATCAAAAGAGGCTTCTTAGGAGCTGTAGAAGTGGGATGATTAGTTTTCATCTTCATAGATTTAGCAATGAAAATGCTCAGGATACTGGTTTTCAGTAAAAACATTTTTGAAAAATTAAGTACATCTTCCAAAGTACTAAGACCGCAGATAGTTTAAATCCTATGCCATAGAGAGCGAATCAGATTTCGTCTGGTTCATAGAGGTACCCCAACTATGAAAATTCCTATATTGTCTGTTCCGTTTGGGTTTTCTGTGGATAGATCTTTTAAATAATCCATTGTCTTTTTTTTTAACTGCACATCTAAAAAGGATATCTTAGAATAGAGTTTCTTCTCTAATGTGAACCTGATTGAAGGGTGGCAATTATAAAATTGAGACAGGATATCTTCTAGATTATCCGTACTATTGGAGATGAAGGTATCATCTGTGTATCGCTTATAAAGTTCAGGTATATGTTATAGGATAGAATGTACTACTACTTAGTTCTGTCTATTTTTCTGCAGCATTGAAACAACTCGCCAGTGTCACAATTCAAGTTTACAAAAGGCAAACAGGTCTATCATGTCAGTGTCGATAAGTCTTCCACGAATTTACTAGAGTTTATGCTACCTTCTGCACTTAGTATCGTAGATAGGTTTTTCTGTATTTTCAGTACAGTCCACCTGGTTCTGTTGTCTTGTCCGGTAACCTGGTGTGTTTGTATAGTTACTTGGTTCCAAACAGTAGTTACTCTCTAATTTTTTTTCCAGAAAGAATATGTATCATTTACTCAATTTTAATTTCCAGTTTAACCACTTGGTATTGTAATAAGTGCCGACTTTTGTGCTTCAGTTTCTGAACGGTCTCACTGATTGTAGTTATTATAATAATTGCGGTAATTATTATGTTTAATTTTCCTTTGGTTTTTTGTAGCTCGTTGCTGCTAATCGACAGGTGGAACATTTACAAGGACTTCTTGCTACCACACTTTTGGGTGAATCGAAACATTCATCGAATTCTAATAAGAAAAATGAAACTTCTGTCGCAGATTCGGCGTCTCAGACTATTGCGTTAGTTAACCAGTACTCTGTATCTTCCAGTCCGAAGATCAGCCATGTCCCATTACATGAACACTGTGTAAGTTTAACCTTCGTTTAACCATACTTTCGCCTATTGTTTTTTTTACTATTCAGTTCCATTTTCTAAGTTTTAAGTCATTCAATTTCTTTCATTGGATGTTTCTGTTTGTTGTTTAATATCACGTTTCATAAAATTTATTTATTTGCATTTGCATTGATAACAGTGAAATTAAGGAACTGCTTGATCCATTCCTATATTTATTTATTACTTTGCAAACGTTTTAGAATGTAGTCACGCAGAGATTTCACTTTATGAAAGTATAGTATTCACATGAATTGCTAATCCAGAAAGTAACAAAATGGCTGGTTACATGAAACGCGTTCAAGTAGTCAGCATAATTTTTTATGCATTCTTGTTCAAATAATATACAACGCAAAATAACAATTGATATTTTGATTAAATAGATTGCGTTTGAAGATAATAAAGCATATAGTCTGTTAGAATCCATCTACAGGGTTAGGGAATTCGGGTCAATAGCAGCCCGGTGTATACATCGGTCATCAGTTGGGATCACATCATAAACTGACCATATATTCTTCCTGAAAATTCTTCGGTCAGGGCACTGTAATGTGCATGTAATCATGTAGAATAAAATATACAGAAATGTGTGGAATCTCCTAACGATAGTGTTTTAGGCACTTCTTGGTTGTTACAGATCTCTACCCTTTCCAAGCCCATATCTTTAACCTACAGTATGTTACTTGGTGGATATTTCTACATGGATAGGGACGATCAAAATCTGACTAAAAGTGACCAGTAGATATGATCATTATTAAAGTTGAAATGATTGTTTACTCATAATAATCTGATTTTTAAGCTTTGGTAGTATTTCAAGCAAAATTACTACCCATGAATACACCATTGGTTAGAATAGTTGTGGTAATGTGTAAGCACTTAGTATAAACCAGGATATCCTTGGGGGTATCTCGTCGAGACTTTTGATTCAGATATTTCATTTAAACGGCTATGATGCTGTATTGCATTCAGACATCTACTGGTTTAGCAAACATGTTCTGTAAATATTCTTTCCCCCCCTTACAATGGGGGGTTTGCATGTGGTGGAACTATGGCTCAGTGGTATGAGAAGATGGTTTACAATCAGTGGGTTACGGGTTTTAATGCTGCTCCGCCTACGAATGTTTAGACAGCCAGTTAGTATCATTTACTGTCACACAATAGGTGTGATTCATCGCCTACTGCGTGAATGTGCACATACTTACTGAGTGCGTTTTGTCATCATCTTCGTTTATATGTACCGCCAGTTTGATATCGGAACTTGTCAGCTATAACCTCTGTTTTAGCATCACATGATCATCACTAATGACATCTGAAGTCTGTAAGAAATACTATATGAGGTTTATCTAATGCGGTCGTTTAACGAAAATTTGAGAACTAAGGCAGATTCAGTCCAACCTCGAGTATTTGGATGATTTTCTTTAGTAATGTACAATTTCTAAGAAATATCGAACTATCATTCTTATTTTCTTTTTCTAGTTTTCGCTATTTGCTGTCATTCCCATCATGGTACTGATTTGTGCATTCATGGCATATATTTTCCTGAAGTTTGTTCAATAACCGTCCTATACTTGGATAAAAATTTAGTTATTCTTCGCTTATGCTGTCCTGGCAACAATTCTTGGGTGTCTTCAAACAATGCAGTTTAATTCTGAGAATATTCAAGTTTCGCATGAGTGGTTCAGCTTCGTCTATTTTAAAATATTTCATAGTTTTCCGAAAACTTAACGGTACCTGTGCTACTTACTGTCTATGATGCTTATCTCGGGGATTGTTCACTTTGGTTCAGTTTTTCAAGCTATTTACTAACCAGCCAACTTGTTGTTCTTATTACCTCTTATGACCAGTGGAAATCTCTTCTTATATAGCGCGGTCGACATGCTTATCACTGTACATTCGAAATAATGGCTGTTGACGGTTATTTGGTTTTTTCTTTTCTCCGTAGCTTATTTAGAGATTTATTATTGCTTTCCCGTTTTGGTATGACTATTATTCAAGAAAGTATTTCCCATGCTGTCACTATAATCCCCACCTTTTTAATCCAGACAAAACTAGAATCCTGATTGTAGTAGCTTACATTTACCAACGCAAAGTGAATTTTTCAGTGGGGTTCGCGTATTAGTGAACTCATGTAAATATGTGTAGAGACTTGTATTTACGTGTTCGTTTACCATACTGATCTCTACCCTAATTTGCTTGTTTTGAATCATATGATGCATGGTTTTCCCATTCTTGTTGTCGTTCCGGGCTTTCCTTCATACTTTCCATTAGAATGCTTCTAGAAGAGCGTTCTATTTCTTTTTAAAAAATCACATTTTCTTTATTTCTCCATTTGTGCATGTAAAACTGAAACTTTTGAATCAACTGTGCTGCTATAAACGCTGTCCAACACTAATAAGTAGTATTGCTATACCTTTATCTGTTTCAATAGTCTTTATTCGTCTTCATTACTACATTTGTTAATAATGAATAGTGCAGTTGGAAGAGAGTTCGTCTTGAGTCATAATTTTTCACCTATATATTCATAATTAAAACTGTATGGATGTAGTTTTTACTGGTATGTTTGTATACAATCGGTTTTTTCTCGTCATTCTTGTGTTTGTTTATTACGACCAGAAAGGGATGAGGAATGTTGTACACAGGGGAAGCATGCAGGATGAATACTACAAATAAATTTTAGTGATAACATTATATATTATTAAATAGGCTGGTAGCCCATGTTGTTTCTCTGCCGATCACTTGAACTGGGGGGGTGGGATATAAGTGAACTCAATCTGTTCTTTCGTCATAAACTTGTTTCCTGCCACTTTCGCTTTGTTTCTTAATTCGTTCTTAGTTCGGAAAAAGTATTCTAAAATCTCACACTATGTGTAGTGTGAGGTACTCCTCTTTGTGTGTCTACCTACCGATTGTCATCTCTATCCTTTTGTTATCAAAGCGATCGAAAGGATGCTGTCGGAAGTTTGTGTATGTATGTTTCGCAGCCTTGATTTCGTATTGATTTGCATTCGGTTGAATTCATCCACACGTAAATTTTATACACATACGCATATATGTTGTCTATCTTTATTTTGACTATGATTGTGATTCTTAGCCTTCTTCTGAAGATTGTCGTGTGACATCTTCAATAATGTCTCCTAAATCACTTTATATTTGAACATACTTGATATTTCAACAACTCATCCTTAACTGTTACTATTACTGAAATTTGTTTGTATATAGTAATTATCAAAAATTGTTAAACATCTTTTTGTTATCTCTTGAGGGTTAGTTCAGTCTGCTCATGTAGGCCAATCACTAAATATCTCTGTTCAGTAAGTTTCTACACTTCACAAATATTTTGGGTTAAAACAGAATAATGTTATCGACTTTGTTTTTGAATCAGTTATTTCCAAGTTCTGGAATTCACTGCTCCTTATTCGGTTAACCAGTTAGTTTCTAGATGGAAAACTGATACTATTAACGTATCCAGGTATGCATGCTCACTTTCTTTTGCTTAAAGTATGATGTAACTAAGCATATCGGTGCACTACAAGCATTTAACAAAAACCATTTAATTCAAGTAAGGTTTGTGTTCTGCTTGCGATGAATTTGGTCCAATGAATCTGGGTAAGTTTACACTCTAAATCTACAAGTTAAGAAATGCTAAATAACCTACAATGTGTTTGTTTCGTAGTTTGATTTTGTTTATGAGTGACGTATGTACATGTATATTTCTATTTTCCTAACTGAAAATCAAATGTGTCAGCTTCATATGAATATAAACTAATGATAAATTCATGTTTTGTTTGGAAATTTTCTGTTTATATTAGAAAGCCCTTATTGTTACCATGTCCATGAGTAGAATTTTTCGCTCCACATTATTGCATAGCATAGGGAAACGAATGTAACCAAGTATTTTGTTTAAGTTATTCTTTGCCATATTTATCTTCGGTTGGATACATCTGCAGTTAAGCCACCTTCTTCCTCTGTTCATGCAGTTTTGATAATCCTTTAAATGGTCATCATCAGTCTAAGAGTATGTTTCAAAGTCGCTTCATAAACTGTTTAGCTGTATATAATGACGCTACATATAATGGTTCATTACTAGGATTACTGCCGATTTGAACGATGAAATTGTTGCATGTTCAGAAATAACCGGTTATATGCCTTTCAATCTGTTATTCTAATTGGACCACAGAGATACGTGTTTGTGATTCATTTATTATCTTGAGCCAGTACATCTAATTGTTGAGGCTGAATGATAGCATTCGATGATTACTGCAATCAAGATTTTCATAGGCCTTTATTTTCACAAACGATTTTTTGATGTGCGACACAAATATTCAATGTAACTCATGGCTGTGATCTTCAAATGGGATCTTTCTGGACATTCATACTTTACTTCGAATCATAGTGTTATCTTTTTTCATTTCAAGAATCATGTACTTACCAATGACTTGCAGAGGGTGCACAAAGTGAATAGTTAGGGGTCTATTTAACAGTACTGTATATGCTTTCTTTTAGATGAAACCTTATTTAATATACAGGTAAATATGAACCTTTATATTTCCACTTAGTGTCTGAATGATGATATACTCAACATGAGACTCGAAATCATCGTGGATGTGCATTTTTAGCGAGTCCTAGACTGATGAAGCAGCTATTCAGTGCTGTTAGATCCTCAATGGTTCTCCAACAGATCTCAGTCTATGGTTAAAACGGCTGGAAAATCAGTTGGTTCTCATAAAATCACTAGTGGAATTATTTTTTATTTACAGAGTTCTATAGTTTTTATTTCTGTATTTCACTGAACTGGAAACACTTCAACTTAATAATTCCTAAAATACTATGTTAGTAATCAAGAAGTGGCTAACTGGTCTAGTGGATAACGCGTCTGTGTAAATATCATTCATTGTACACATTTTAGAAAGCATTTATCTATTCTCAGTTTGCTTTATTATGTGCAACACTGAACAAAATCTACTCCTGTGAGTACATTGATAACTGTAACTTTATTCTATAGAAGTATTCAACTTTTATGCATCAATTGTAATATTGATTGAAACATTGTCAACACACTTTTAGAAATGAGAGAATATGAGCTTTTACTAATTGTCTATATTATGGTGAAATAAAACATTGTCATGATGACAAGAAAACTCAATCAATCAATCATTGTCAACATAGGACCAGGCATTACTGCGTAACGGTCCGAGTTGCCACACCTCACTTCAGTTCATCAAGTATCAAGTAGAAAGGTAGTGAGGTTAAGGATGAAGATAAGTGAATGCAGTCAAAAGAAATATAAAGTACGAAAAGAAAGGAAAGAGGAGTGACAAAATGGTGAGATTCGGTATAGTGTTGTTAAGATGAGGATAATGTGTGTATACATCTGCGCCACTGACTTCGGTTCTGAGCCATATCACCTAGGGTCTCCAACCACTGGTTCCTCTTGTCCCGTGGACCCCAACCACCTAGTCTGCATCGTCCTACATGGCTTAAACCAACAGTCAGAGACTTCATACATTGGTGCCATGTTTTAGTCTGGCCACCTCGGGCCTTTTTCCAGCCTGGACCCACCTCAGCCAACATTGTGTGACGAGGCAATCGGTGACTAGGCATACGTAGTACGTGTCCCAACCATCTCAGTCGATGAAGGTTCACAACCTCGTCGACTGACTTACCTCTTCTCCCTAAAACTCTACACCTAACTTCTGCATTACTCACATGGTGACACCACGGAATACGTCCTATACTACGAAGGCAACGGTGGTCAAACACCTGAAGCCTTTTCATGTCTTCCACTTTCAATGGCCATGTTTCACAGCCATACAGTAGAACAGAGCGGACTGCTGTGCAGTACAAACGAATATCACGGCGGCGCCATAGGTGGCGCAAATTGGCAAAAGCCAATCGAGCCTTTTGTATCCGTGCAGAAATCTCATCGGCAACTAACCCAACCGGGTTGATCCTACTTCCCAGGTAAGTGAAGTGGTCAACACACTCAACCACTTCACTCTCTATTGTTAACCGCGGTACCGCTGAAGACCAGTCCTGGAGCAAAAATTTGCATTTGGGTGGTGAAAATCGCATCCCAAACATTCTCAAATTCCCACTCAAAGTGTTCAGAAGACTCTGCATCTTGTCAGCGTCTTCACCTAACAGGACTATGTCATCTGCATATTCTAGATCTAAGGAAAATTCACCTGTGATCCGGTCAACGTCTTTGTAATTAGGTGACGAGAGGGAAACCTCCATAAGAATATCTATGATAAAATTAAATAAGAATGGGGATAGTGGGCATCCTTGACGGACACCACTTGATGAGTATAGCTCCCTGGACAACTCACCATAGGCTCTAACATGCCCACAAGTGTTCGAGTAGAGAGCTTTCAATAAGGTGATGTACTTACTAGGCACGCCTTTCAGTGACAGACACTGCCATAAGACTTCTCGATCAACGGAGTCAAATGCCGCCTTCAGGTCGAGAAATACAGCTATTGTCGGGCGTCTGTAAGCATGCCTATGTTCCAGGACCTGGCGCAGTGTGAATATTTGGTCGATACATCCACGGCCAG